GAATCTGTTGAAGTATTTAGTTTTTAGATTCGATTTTTTCGTCTATTTTCGATATTTATTTGAACTATTTATTTAGTTCATACATATATTCATACACATAATACATACATGTGTATGACACATGTACATAAATATCTATAATTATTTTTATTATATGTTTGATGCTTTTCAGTATTTTCTGGCTGAAGAAATTAATTAAAAATATCAAAAATGAATTCAGGCAAAACTCCCAAAGTTCTCAAGTATTGGATTATCTTTCCATTCCGTTCCTCCTCTCTGTCTCCCTTCTCCTCTTTCTTTTTGGCAGCAATTTCAATGGTTTTTGCCCTTTGTGTCCTAACATTTCTCACCGTGTAATTTGGCCTATGGCTGACAGCCCTTTAACCTTCCAACAGCGCCCGCACCGCACCGCACCGCACCTCACCGCACCCACACCGCAAGAAGAAAAGAACTCATTTCATGTAATTAATTAAAGTGACCCCCCAGGAAAAAGGCAACACAACAAAAGGAGTCCCAGCTACAGTCCACTACCCCAAAAAGGGGACAATACTTCTAGTTGCTCATGGACTTTCCAGGACTTTGCTGCTTGCTCCTGGTCTGGTCTCTCCTGCTACTACTGGACACTTCCTTCTCCTGGACTTGACTGCTTCTTTGACTACACTTCTGACACGACAGGACGGACGGACGGACAGTGGGACAGTGGGACAGTGGGAGAGACGGGCACGGCTCAAGTGCATCAAAGTGGTAGAACCGTATTCGAGGTCTGGTAATTTGATCAACCATCAAGCAGCCCAGCTCCGAAACATCGTTTGCCCTTTTATTTTTAAGGACATAACACATTTTTCCACATTGCTGAGCATTAGCCCTGAAGCACAAGGAGTGGGAGAAGCTAATAATTTAGTTAAGTTAGTTAAGGAGTTGGTTCTCCTTCAAAGCGAGCGGGGGAGCGGGGGAGCAGGGTAGCGAGGGGCGGTATATAGGAGTAGGAGTAATGTCAGGTAGGGCTTCCCTCTTTTGTGTTTTTCATATGGAAATCGGAATCCCATCAAATGTAACCGTGGGCTCAAGTTGCTTTCCCCCGGCCACTGTCCTTCGCCTTTCTTTTTTTTTGTTTTTTGTTTTTTTAAATTAGCTCAATGAGCATTTGTGCAATCAAGTGATTTTTAAACAACCAAATAGGTGGACATGGAATGGGGGCTGTGAAAGCAACCCCTGAAATAAAAAATATAAAAAAAAAACCCAGGAAAAGGGTTGCACAACACACACACACACACACACTCGATACGGATACGGGTAGCACTCCTCTCCCACTGCCACTCCCCTGGGACGACGAGTTGTGTGGCAAATAAATTTCACACATATTTGCACACTCCATCATGCCACGCATATGTACGTACGTACGGTAGTGAGAGAGCATTCAATAATTTGTTCCTACAAGGTCGCTTCGCCTCCTCGGTTGATTGTACTGGAAAGACGCTGCTGCTGCTTCTTGAGGCATGCCTCATACTCGTATACTCGTATACTCGTATATATTGTAATCGCAGTCATATGAAAAAATTCCCCCCATGTCTACAAGTGTGTGGTGTGGGTTTATCTGTATGCAAACACAAGGCCATGCCTCCATGACTCATGGCAGAGCAAAAAAAAAAAAGGGGTTGCAACGGGGTTCCGCTGGGAACCCCAGCTGCGGGTCTTCCCGGGGACGACACTCGAGTCGGCCACCCCCCATTGTAAGAAATTCGTATGTAGCAGTAGGTCTTCTGTTCCCAAAGGCGCGCGATTTCTTTGACGATTAATTCTGTATTCAGATCATTGATTAACAATTGGCTATTGATTAGCAGAATCGTGGGATTAGGGGTTACCATATTCCTACAGGAACAAACTTAAAAGAAGGTTCTATAGGAACTTCAGGGCAAAGTGAAATTAAGTTTGTTGTTTGCTCAAGTTTTTTGTAGTTTTTTCATTCGAAATGAATGTATCCTTTCGCTAATTCGCCAAACATTCCACTCGTCATACGCAGCAGGCCACTGATGTCTTTTCCACTTAAAAGTATATAAGAAACGCTGAGAGATATACAGAAATACTCCAGCGAAAGTTACGTGTAGTACGTTTAAAACACATTTCTTTTCCTCACAATATTGCACGAATATTCACATTAAAGTGCTACGTATGTATGTATTTACCTTCATCAACCATGAACTTGTTACCGGCAAAAAAAAAAAAATCAATGCCTGTAGAAATATCAGCACATTCCCCAATGGGATACCCCAAATGGGAATCCAACGGAACGAACTTGAAGCTGACTTTAAAAATGTCAGCCGGCAATCTATGCGAAGGAATTCAGAAACTGGTGGCATTCCCCCATGCCACCGATGGGGGCGAACGATGCTGATGCTGATGATGATCATCATCATTATTGCTATTTCGCACAGGTTACATTCTGTTGCCACTTTCTGTGTTGCCTCCCTGTGTGCCTCCTCTTACGGTTTCCCTTTTTTTTTTTTTGTCAATTTCGCCGCGAGAGCTCGAGTCATTTGCAAGTTGCGCGTGGATATGGTGTGTGGCAGAGGTGTGTGTCACATTTGCCACGACACGATTTCCTTTGACTTTGCCATCCCCCACTGATCCCTGTACCGTCTACAGTTCCTGCTGCAGAGCATCCTTCCTTCCTTCCTTCCCTGTTATAACCTCAAACACATCCTTATTTATTTCTATTTTTATGTGTCGCACCACGGCAACAACAACCCAAAAATAAAATAAAACGAACGAAACAGAACCAGAAGCAGAAGCAGAAAAAACTCATGTTTTGGTATACCCTTTCAAGAGATGAAACTGTTACATATTTATATATGATCGAGTACCCTTAGAGACTTCCTAGATTGTTCATTGTTGCTCAAACTACGCCAAACCGATGGGCGCTGCTGCATAACGTGTAACATAGCTAAATTTGTGCCCAATATATGAATTTAAATATTGACTAAATTAATTTTTGAATTGAAAACCTTCTTTATAGACTGGGAAAGGCATAATATATATATATATATATATATATAGGTATATGTATGTATATTATGTATAGAGTGGGAAAGACATATTTCTCTCATCTATAAATCGGGGAATACCTTTATTTCGCTTTTGTGTTCGACTTCTACCCATAAATCCCAAGCCCCATTCTATAGAGTGTATGAAAAGCAACAGCAGGAGCCAAGAAGAATTTATTTTCACTGCGCATTTTCACTCCTTTTCTAGAGCGGGTGTGAGACATCCATATCCCACACCAACTTTTCCTACTCCTCTGCTCTCGAGCTGAAGCTACCAATTGGACTTCCTCTTTTGACATTCATTCGCATTCACATTCCTCCCAATTGTGTTATAAATTCAAAAATGAATAACGCACGTTTTCTTGTGGTTTAAAATTCCATTTTATTTGTATTGCTCCCACTCTCCGCTCCGTTCTCTCCGCACATCATCATCCTCATCCCCTTTCGGCGTTTTTTTTTGTCTACTTTCTTTTTCCTGATTTTATATATTTCTTTTTTTCTTACTTATGTTTCAAAAACTCGTCCATTAGACAGGAGGGACACCCATAACCCCACCCAAAGCCCACTCCCACTCAATACCCCATCCTCAGCGCACAATTAAAACATTTTTGCAATGACATTTGTGGGGCTTTTGCCATCGGATAAAAGACTACGAAATGTAGGAAAACCCAGTGGAAAGCCATAGACAGGCGACCGCACACTGGGCTTTTCCTCGGGTACTACTCGCTCTTAAGGTTTCAATCCATATTCGGGTTTGGGGTTTTTCCCTCTCCCTGTTGGGTTTTGGGAAGAAAGCAGCTTAAAGAGTTTTTCCCCTGGCTGCAGTTTTGTTGTCGGTTTCTGTTGTTCTCCTTGTGGGTTTTCGTAGTTAAAATTTAAGAGTATTACGTGGAGTACCTTCAATGACAGAAGTGCAGTGAACATTTGTAGGCGGCTACTGATTGATGTCAGACAAAATAAGGAGGTTTAAGAAGAATTACAAATTAAATTAAAAACAAGTTTAAATCTTTGAGCGAAGCAACAAAAGTATATTTGGAATAAAATGCAGGGCTTAAGTTTTGATTGACTTGGTAGATTTTCTTTATATGAATAGAAATGCCTACAAAATTACGCTATTGATGAAGTTCCACTTGAGCTGCAAAAACAAAAGCCATCATGCCATTCCTTCATTCAATTTCGCATTGGAAGCAATCAAAGCACAGATCAATCAGGGACCTCGAAATCGAACAATTAACCCAAGCAATCACAGTATTCCTCTCTACCAGCACACACACACACACACACACACACACACACCAATCACAAGAATTTCAATCAGAGAACCAGAGGATCTGAGGAAAATACCATCGAGAGAGGCGGAGCGAAAGGCGAACGACGAACGACGGCAAACCATAGACAAATGGCATCAGAATTTAATTCAATTGCAAATCCCATATCATCCTGCGAGAAAAACACACAGAAAGTTGGACCGAACGACGATGAACGACGTTCTAGGAGAGCGATGGGGGGGAGGAAAAAAAACATTCAATTATGAATTCTGAGAAAAAGCTTTGAACAGAGAAAAAAAAAAAACAGAAAAAGAAAAACTACAGGGGAAAACTGTCTTATTTATCCAACATTTGACTTTGAAATGATGAAAATGCTAAAGCAAAATGTTACAAACAGCAGATGGGCGGTGGGGGGACATGAATGTGGTGGGGGGCTTCCATCCAGGAGGTAAAATTTCATTTTGTCTGACATTCGTAAGTCACATCCGATGTACAATGCCCCCAAACATTTCCATAATTTTTTGCTGAAGCGAGGGCAGCACATTTTCTATTTCTCAGAGTATATTTTCTTATTTTTTTTTTTTTCTGATTTTGCTGTTTGGTTGGTTACACAGTTTGTTGAAAAAGAATACGCATTCTAATTAAATTGTGACTCTGTTCTAATATTTCTACCATTTCTTTCCCATTGCAGCACAAGCAGCATCAGCATCTGGCAGCGTTCGTGGAACGAAAGTGGAAAAATTCTTCACGAATTTGGTAAGTAAAAGGGGTGCAAAGGATGGGGTCTCAACAGCGGGAAATGGATATAAAAAGGCAGAGATATCTCTAGAGGATATACATAAAAGATAGATTGGGAAATATAGACCAAATTGAAAGCTTTATTGGGGAAATAATTAGTAACTTTTTATTCCGAATATATATATATATGAGTGTTTTTGTATTCGCTGACACTTGCTTCATGTTCGTGAAATATGTGAAACATTGGGAAACATTTCCGATCTTCTTTCTATACCAGATGTTCGGTCTTTTGCCAATGTTCCACTAGTAGACCCCATTCGTCAAATGATTTCAAAAAGAATCCCCTGATACATTCGACGGAATTAATACCATTCTTCATGAGGGATTCGTTGTGAAAAAATACAACACTATTGTACTATTTAGGAAGGCTCTTTTTCCGAGAAAATGTTGGGTTCCGTTCCGCACAAACTGTGAGGCTACGACTGACTATTTTTTGGTGAAAAGCCCTGACAGTCCAAATAAACCTAGTATATTCGCCCTACTTGAGTACTTTCGATACACTGATGCCAGTTGTAAGAACGTAACAATACCTTAAAAGACCTTCAAAAATACTCTACGTATATACGTTACTCTGGACTTTTTAAAATAAAGTACTAAACATACAAATAAAAACAAAAACAAAAATAATTATAATAAAAAAAAAAACAATTCTACGATTATTGGTAGCAAGGAAATCTGTTTTATCATCATCGTATGTTGAATGTACGACCTCAGAACCAATTTTTTGTATTTCAAAAATTCCCTAAAATGTTTAAGTGCCACAAATATTGATCGAGAAGCCATGAAGGAATATTGGTGATGGTTGAAATAAGTTAAACTAATAAAGAATCCCCAGGAATAGCTGGGTAATCCAGGACGAGCTCAAGTCCAGTGCGGTTAGGTGAGGTCAAAAGGCAGCTTCTACCTGATAATCGTCTCAATATTTCATACGCCCCGTGATCCCACCCACAGCAACTCATCGAATATTTGATTTCCGTGCTCCTTCATCGACGTCTAATCCCCAGTGCCCACTTCTATGCTTTTCCACTTGCCCCCGCACTTGAACCCGATGCCCAAGAACCTCTCGCCCCCACTTTTCGCCACCCTTAGAATCAGATTCTCCTGCCAGACTCCATTCGCATCGGCCCATCTTGTGCGCCATGCCCCTGCCGTTCCTCTTCTGGCAAATCTAACCAAATGCCAACACAAATTTTGTTTGCTTTTTGTATTAGGTTGACAAAAATCAACACCCAGGCAGCCAGCCAGGCCAGGGATTCCACTCGCTGGAGATTTATGGGCCGGAGGAGGAGTGGGCCTTCGTCCCCCTCTCTCGCTTTTTGAGCTGTTTGTCTTTTGCAAATTTCGGGCAATATTTTGCGGTAAAAGGTGAATTTATTAGCACTACTCCACCTCCTCTGATAGAGAAAGACAGAGAGAGAGAGAGAGAGAAAGATTGCCCTTTCTTTTTGGAAAACTTCTTATCGCCAAACACATTTTCCATGGACTTAAGATCTTGACAAATCATAAACAAAATGCAGACCAAAATGAGTGAGAAATGGATGGACAAAAACTGTGTTCTCTTTGCCATAATCAAATCCCAAACAAAGTGACAATAAAAAGCCACACAGAGTATCCATCCATAAAGGCTATAGAGAGACCTCAGAACCCATAGACAAACCCGAATAGATGGAGATGCATATCAAAAGTATCGAAGAAGCGTAGATGGGAGATGGGAGATGGAGAATGCGATGCAGGGAGAGTGAGAGACAGTGTGGCATACAACAAATCTCCACATTCAAAACCCATTCCATTCAAATCCGACCCTATCCATTTGCCATACCCATTCCCTGCCCTTCACTTTATGAAATAGAAAATGAAAATCTTCATGGCTTAAGCCTCCACTAACATGGAGATGATAACCGTGGCCAGGCAGGGTGAAGGGGACTGTTGGGGCACCGCAAGATACGCATCTCTTGTGGATTGTGTTGTTGCTCTTCAAAATTTCGTTTCTTTTCTTCATTCGGCTTTTCCCTGATGTTAAGCCGATTTCTGGTTGACTTTTTTGTGTGTGTGTGTGTCGTCTGTCTGCTTGTCTCTGTCGTGTGTGTTGCGACATAAAACACAATAAAAGTGAAATAAAAAACACACACACGAAATCTTGGCCCTCATCTGCTTTTAGGCTGTGATGACAGTGAGAGGGCGAGCGTGCAGAGTGCGAGAGTGCGAGGGGAATGGATGTCCACACTATCAATTTCGAAATTCCAATAAGTTGCCATTCGCTTGGTACATTTGGAGAAAAGGTTCTGTTTGATAAACAGATTGGAAAGAGTACAGCGGAAAGCTTTCTGCTCTCTGGAAAGTGTGAGTAGTTTTTGGTTCGATTAAGGGATAAAATTGTACGTACATGGGGATATAAATACATACGAGTACACATACGAGTATGTAGAGAAGGTCTTAATACAACACTTTCATTGGCAGCACATTCACATGGGGCAACTGATTTTGTTTCCACTGTAGGGGAATCCCCTTTCCCTAACCGTCTATTATCTAATCTGCAGATTATCCACAAGTTAAGCCTCTTACTCTCTCTCTCTCTCCCTCATCTATTCATACGCTCCACTTGACCCAATAATTGTCTAACATTTCTCGGCAAATTTCCACTCGCATATTTTCTTTAGTTTTCCAATGAAATTTTCTCATTCATTTGATCAAATATTTGAATACGGAAGAAGTTGAAAGAAAAACAGCTGGCAGAATGCATTTCCCTTTCATTAAGCTACCGATTGTTGTTGTTTCTGCTGCTGCCACCGCGCAGTGTTGTTATTGTTGTTGCAGCTGCAACATTGGCCACCAAGTTGTGGCCCACATTTTGTGTGTTCTGTTCGGTTCGGTTCCGTTCGGTTTCTGTTTTTGCAGCTCCTCTTTCTGGCCAAAAAAAAGCTTCCACTTGAGCGCTTGTGCCACGAGCTGTTGCCTGCCGCCAGTCCGCCCCCCACTGCCAAAAGTTTCCTGTATGTATGTTAATTAAAGTCATTACGTGGAGGACGCCGCCAATGCCAATGCCAACGCCAACGCCAAGAGTCCCAAAGTCCAAAGGAAACAAAAGGCAAATGCAGTTCCTCGTTTTACTCGCCAGTCCGCCATACTGCCCGTCCGTGACTCTGCTGCTGCTCTTCGGCTCTGCTCCTTTCTGAGCTGATGGGGAACACACGCACACAGACACAGCCTCTCTCTGGACTCTGTGCCTCATCCTGTTGCTGGATTCTAGGAGCAGCAGCAACAGCAGCAGCAACAACAAAGTGAAGTCAAACGCTGCGCCAAATTGGCCAATTTTCGTATGCATGGCAAGCAGGAAAACCAGGAGAAGGACGGACCATCAGCCGCAGCAGCAGCACAGCTCAAGGCAGAGGCAGGGGCAGTGGCAGCGGCAGGATGAGTGCCTGGGAAAATCTCCTCTTTGGCATTGACATCAATGAATAATTTTGGTTAGGGCGATGGCAGATGAGAGCGGAGCGGAGCAAGGGGTGTGACAGTACGAGTGTGGTGCGGGAAAAGGGCAAGGGCCCTGAAAGGGTGTAGCTAAATGAGGAGGAGTAGTGGGTGGTTGGGGGAGAGGCGTACAGCGGTGTGTTGGCCTGACTGGAGACGCCACGTGTCAGGAGCATTGTTGAAATAATGAAACATGTGAAATGACTGCACTGGTAGAAATCGAATCGAAACTATGTACCAAAATATATTTGAATATGTTTTGAAATCTGTAAGTGGGAACAGTTGTTCAAGTGGGCACTGGGAACAGCTGGCAAGCAGAGATCGATAAATGGGAGCAGTTGATGGGAACAGTTGGAACACAAACACAATAAATATATTGGCATAATGAGTGGGAAGAGTTTTGAGTGGGAACACTGACTGAGAAGAGAAATTGCGAAATATCCGACTGGGAACAGTTTGAAAGCAGAGATCAATAGGTGGGAACAGTTGATGGGAACAGTTGGAACACAGAGATAAATGAACTGGAGTAATGAGTGGGAACAGTTACTGAGAAGAGAAAGTATTCGATTAGATTAATCCATTGAAACAATAAGTGGGAACAGCTTGTAGTAAAAGTGTTGAAAATTATATTTAAATTATATGTAAAGTAAAATGTGTTAGGCACAGTGATCGCCAACTTGATTTGATTTCCACCAGCAAATCACACCCCGAAAGTCACCCACTCATTTCTTGCCGTGTACTGTGGCCGTGTGTGTGTGTGTGTGTGGGTGGGGGGGGACTATCCTTTTCCTTTCATGTGCCTCCTCTAATGATGCACAACATGCACAAAATGTGTTAATGACAAACCAACTGCCGACTGCCGATGGGATGGGATGAGACTCGACTCATGAGCTCTCTTTTTGTGTGTGCCGAGAGCGCACTCGATGACTGCCTAATGAGTCCATGGGCCCCCGAACCTGTTGCCCTTTTTCCAAGTGCTGTGCGGCGGGGATGGGGTGGGGTGGGTTGGGGTGTGGTGTGGTGTAGCAGAAAGAACCTCTTGCCTTGAGATACTTTTGCTTTTCAAATCGAAAACTGTGCTGGCTGCTGACTGCTGCCTGCTGCTGTCGGGGCCAAAGTGAAGCAAATTAAATTGCAGCATGAAATCGAATTGCCAGCAGGCAGCTGAGGCATTCAAATACAGAACGTGGATTGGGGCTGCTGGGGATGTATCCATAAGATACATTCAATGCTTTGGTGCTTGGAACTCCTCTCATTCTTGCAGCTGCCGCTGCCGCTGCTGCTGTGGGCCCCAGAGGACGACGACAGACGGAAGAGGATGAACCCAAGATTCAGAAGACTTTAAATTGCTTTTGCCAAACGGTGCACCATCTCGTGCACCATCCTCCCTCCTCCTATCACCTGACGAGCGAGGTGGCACACACAGAACGAGTTGGGTAGGGTGAGAGAAAGAGAGAGCGAGAGGAAGGGAGTGAAGCATGGGGAGACCTACGACTAAAGGAAAAATAATATAAGAAAAGAGTAAGGAGAGTTTTCTACAAAGTGTTCGATTAAAATAGATATTTTTATGGCTTTTGCATCCGAGAATTGCATTAGGCGAGTGGTTTTTGGCCAAGGAAAAACCAGGTTGAAAGTTGAACATCGATCGGGTATATATTATAAAGTACATATAGAAAAGGTGTACAGAGTAGAAGAGAGTAAAGCAAGATATTCTTATGAATCTATAATTGCTTTGAAACTTACCAAGAAGAAGAGCTTTTTAAGGGATCTTTTGATTGATGTTTTTCAACTAAAAATTTATAGTTTAATAACAGATTTAATGATTACATATCACAACTTTTTTTCCCCAAGGATCCAAACCGACTTTTCTGATTATGGTTTAAATTTTTAAAAATTTTTTCTGATTTTTTTTAAAATTTTCAAGGACTTTTTTCACATAACCTAGTATTACTGGTTGTTTTATTTTGAAAGAAAAACACTAGAAGTTAGATTACTTTACCGTCTGGGATATTAAAGCAAAATTTTTAGGTTTTTACAAATTTAAAGTAAAAAAAAATATTTTTGTCCCCTTTTTTTGTGTATGGTGCGTTATTTGTTGTTTGAGCTAAAATTCGTTAACCAAACCTAAAATAGGAAAAATGAACAAAATACCTTTTGGAAGGTTGCGAGCCCAACTGCCAATGGACAAACAAACGAAAAAGGGTTGTCATTTGGTACCTGATCACCCAATGGGATTGGCTCGCTTCGAAAAGGTATTTTTTGTTCATTTTCCATATTTTAATGAAATTTTAGCTCCAAAGCTCTCCAGCGATACCTTGAACGACGCCAACCATGGTTTTTTTTGATTTTGAAACTTATTTCAACTTTATAAGCAATTATCTTTCAAAATAGCAAAGTTTAACCGAGTAACTATGTGAAAATAGCTTATCCTTTTTCTTCAGGTAAAAAAAAATACATTTGTAAGCCCCAAATCTTTAAGAAAAGTTGGTTTTGTTCCTTGGGAAAAATGTGTTGACTAGTGTTATCTAAGGCATAAAATGGTTAACCAAATGGTGCTGATACTCTCAGGGTTAATTGTATTTAAACATGATACGAAAATCTGTTTTAAATATATATGTTGAACAAATTAAGAAGACCGTGAAATTATAAAAAAAGAATAAATTCCTCTAAAATTTCTTTAAAATATTAAAATAAAAATACTTAAAAAAAAATAATGGATAATATTTTAAAAGATTTTCCCAATGAATTCCATTAAATGTTTTGCAAATTGATGCACAAAATATATGAGAAATTCCATCTTAAAGAAGCTTTTACAATTATTTACATTCCCAAAATCAAATAAAAAACACACATTCCTTTGCTTGAAATAGTGTACCAACGAAAAACAGAAAAAAAAAACAACAAAAAAATACCCTAAAAGTAACAGACAAAAAATACCACCAGCAATCATTTGAAAGTGCAGCAGCAGAGATTCACGGGCAAATGTTTTATGAGAATCCCTGCACAGAAATCTTAATTGAAAAATGCATATCAATTGCAATATTGGTCTGTCTGGTGTTTGTGCAGTTTGCCTTTGGTTTTTAGGCAGAAACGAAAGCAACTCAATCAGTGGGAATACTCGTATCAAAATGTTGCACAAATGCAGCAAATAAACGGCATATTGTTGGCATTGTTGTTCTCTGTTATCAGTGTTGTTTCTGCTGTTTCTGCTGTTGGCTTTTTTGTTTTGTGGGCCATTTTTTATTGTTGGCAACGCCTCGACAAGACCACAAACAACTCGTTAGAATTTGCATGCAGAAACAAAAAAAAAAAAAGAAACAAAAAACGTAACAAAAACTAACAACAAAAAAATACTAGAAAAATCCCAGAGAAAAATGAGAAAAACAGACAAAAAAATAAAGAGAGACAGCAGAACAGAACAGAAAGCAGAAACCCAAACAAAAAGCAAACCAAAAAGAGAAGCTGAAAAAAAGGAAAAGCAAATACGAAGGGAGGCACAAACATTTCCGAGTTTTGTTAAGAGTTTGGACAGAGATGGCAATAGACAGATTGAGGCAGTCAAAATGTGATAGAGGTACGGATGCAATATATACATACATATGTACATATGTATGTACGTAGTAGAAGTATTTACGGGGAAATGGAAATTGGGTATTGCAGCAGCAGCAGCAGCAGCAGCAACAGCAACAGCAACAGTGAAGGAGGAGGAGGAGGAGGACGAGGAGGAACAACCCATCCAAACATTTGACTATATAGCAGCCGGCGGATGGCTATCAATTTGATATATCAATCAGAGGAAAAGCGGGACGAAAGACGAACCAGAAAGATGGCAGTGGGGAAGGGAAAGGGAAATTCATTTGGATTTTTGTATACCCTCTGGATTGGTACGTGGGAGAATGCAAGTGATGGGCATTGAAAAGCGTGGGGTGTACGAGGTAATCAAACTCGCTATTCCCATCATATATGCGAATATTTTTGTATTCCATTTTAATCTATAATCCAAAATAATTGCTTAATTTTTAAAGAAACATTTTGCAAAAATTACCAAAGCCAATTGCCATTCTGGCGCAACAACGACGACTTATTTTATTTTTCAGTTGTAATTTTCCACGTTTCTATAGTACTTACTCCGTATTTTTCTTAATTTTTTGCAGTATTTTCTGGCATATTCATATGCCAATGCCAATATATCAATGTGCATCATTATTTCATTTTATTTATCCATTTGATTCACATAATTCAAGAACTTCCCCGGAGTAGTTCATTCCACTGTATTCGTTACCTAAATAAAAAGCAGTTATTAGGAATTACTCTGCTCATGCCGTTTGCTTCTAGCATTTCTCTGTGGCAAGCCCTGATGAATCATTGAGATTCGCTGAACAGATTTTTTACGGGCCTTTAAGCCCTCGAAATGTTCGAGTTCGTCGTAAAAGAGAATGACCATTTCGGGGGAGGCTTATATTTTCTTTAATTTCTGTTTCCCTTGAAGGCGTTCTAATAACCGATAATAACCGGAGAGGAAAGCTACAGAGAGAGAGAGAGAGAGAGAGAGGGAGAGAGACTCGGCTCTGTTCGGTCTTCAAACGTGGCCTTGAGGTCTCGCTGTACTTGCGGCGGATATATATCGTACATGTGGCATGCCACATGTATGTAGTATATACAGGTTTTGTGTCAGTCTGTCTGCCTTCTAGGATTATCTTGGACACACGCTGGGGGCCATGGCCAGGGCGACTCATAAAGGGATCTGACTCTCCCACTGATTGATTTATGTTTCCCCCTGTGGCAGTGGCAGTGGCAAGGCACCAAAAGGGGCAGCAGGCTCTCGTCACTAAACATTTGCTTGTTTCTGTTGTTTCTGTTGTTTTGTTGCTTCTTGCTCCTCCCACGCTTTGGCTTCCTTCTGCCTTTGCCTCTCCTTTGACTGTTAATAGCTTTAATGCTGTTTTATGGCATTTCGTGGAGAGAGAGAGAGAGAGAGAGAGCAACAACTGATGGGGCATGTGGCATAGAGCATTTGGTAGCTGAGTGGGAACTGGAACTCTGGTGGCATGCCAGCGCCAAATGTTTTACATGCGTGCTGTTGCTGTTGCTGCTGCTGCTGTATGTCCCTGCTTCCTCTGCCACTCTGCCACTTATTGTGGCAACAATGTTTTCGCATAAATAAATTGGAATTGACTGTGGGGCTAGAACCGGGAACCGGGGCAGAGGGTGGGATAGCTCTGGTAAAGCTCATAATTCCAGCTTTTATTTGTGGGATTTTAGCATGGCATGTCAGTCATGCATCTTGGACCCACGCCGCTTGCCGCTTGCCGCATGCCGCATTCCCCCTGCTCACTGCCCGCATGCGCATTCGGGGGTGAAAGAGGCACGAGGATGCTTCCTATTTCCAACTCTGATTAATGGCCATGTTTTACTTCTCTCTCGCCACAGATGATGCCCCACTACTAGCAGGAAAACCTACACCAAAATACAGCGAAGAATCTCCCCCGAGAGACAGAGAGAGAGAGAGAGAGAGAGAGAAGGAAGAGAAGCCAGAGAGAGAATCCAGAACGATCGTCGAAGAACCAGAGAGAACAATGTATCCGGCCAGTGCCAGCAGCAATGCAGCGTCTGCATCCAAATTTCAGAATCGTTGCGCATCGCCACAGTTCGCCAGCTTTGCGCCGCCGCCACCGGGCGACTATCCACATCCGCATCCGCATCCGCATGCACACTCGCATCAGCACCAGACGACAGCCGCGGCCGTGCACAATGCCCCCGGGGGTGGTGGTGGCGTCGGCGGCTCGATGCGGCATCCCAGCCAGCGCTCCACCTCGTCCACGGCAGCGCATCAAATGACCCTCAATCATGGCGGCCATGGCCACGGCCACAACCACGGCCACGGCCTGAGCATGGGGGGCCATGGCACAGCGGCCACACTGGGCCACCACCACCACGTGGGCTCCCATCTGATCTTTCCCGATGACATGGACAGCATCGAGTTCTGCATGCCAGCAGCGCCCTCTTCCTCGTCATCCTCATCGCAGCAGAATGGCGGGGAGCAGCTGCTGTTGGGCAGCAGCCATGGGGAGGCATTTACGGAGCGTCGACGACGCGGACATAGTCGCAGGAGTAATCACAAAATGGACGTAGAACAGCAGGTGAGGCTTCGCTATTTGCAGGAGAGCCTTTCACTTGGGGGAACAATAAACGAAGAGCAGAGGAAAGCAGAAAGGAAAAATCTATGGGAATTCCCATTGATTGCGCTCTGCAAATGTTCCCCTAAGTGAAAGGACGCATTCCTTAAGTAGGGGATCATTCTCTTGGAGGTAGAGCCTTTCACTTACGGGAATAACACTTAACAGAGTCGGAAAACAGTAGTATGGACACAGCAGAGGCCTCTTCCTTATATGATCCTTATTGGTTTTTCCCCTAAGTGAAAGGATACATTTTTTTAGGGCTGGAGCCTTTTACTTAGGGGAACACAAATTTCTTGGCACGGGAATTTCACTAAATGCTGGAAATTCCACAGATTTCAATCTACAAATGTTCCCCTAAGCGAAAGGATACTTTTTCGATTTCCTTCTATATGCTTAACCGATCTCCATTCTCTTTCTCTCCTGATGTGTAGGTCAAATGGTCCCGCAAGAATATTGCCGCCACCATGGAACGCTTTGAGCCCACAACCAACACACAGTCCTCGTCGTCCACATCATCGCTGGACTATGGTTTTGCCGCTGGCGTTATGACGCCCAGCAGCAGCAGCGCCACACCCTCGCATGGCGGTGGCGCCTCTGGTGGCGGAATGTCCTCCACACCGTCGTTGCATGTGGCCTTCAATGGGGTCGGCTCGGGCGGTGCCGGGGCAGGTGCAGGGGCCAGCGGTGGGGCTGCTGGTGCAGCTGCCGCAGCGGCACCGTTCAATCATGTCTACTCGTACGCCTACTATGAGCCAGGGGCGGCCAAGTGCCACACGAATGTGCCCGCCCAGGGATCCGCACAGGCCCAGGCCATAGCTCATGCCCAGGCGCAGGCGCAGGCTCAGGCTCAGGCCCATGGACAGATGCAGGCGCCATCGAAGAGTCCGCCCAGGAACTCCATACGCGCCCTGTTGGCCAAAAGCTTCCGCTCCAAGTCATCGACACACAACGGTGGGCAGTCGACTTCGTCGTCGCCGAGCGCCGAGGATCGGGACAGGCACACGTACACCACACGCTACGGCACCACCGAGAACCTGTACGAGGAGGTCAGTGAGCAGAAGATCCGCAAGGTGCTCTCCGACAATCGCATCGCCTCGTCCAGCGTGGGCAACGTGAAGGAGGAGCAACGCCGCGTCCAGCACAATCATTTCCGTGTGCTCGACGAGCTAAATCTCTCGCTGGAGGCACTGATTATGCCCCCAACGCCGCCCGATATTAGCCCCAGTCATGCGATAGCCGTGGCCGTCGATGAGCTGGGATTGGGGCCCATGAATGCCCCCTCCAGCAGCGGTGGCATGGGACAGGCAGGGGCCTGCTCCACCTCCTCCTCCCCTGCGGGAGCAGCGGCGGCGCCATCCTCACTGGTGGCCAACAGCAGCGGCGGCAGCCAATCGAAGACCGCCCAGCGGCCACGCCGTGGCGGATTGCTGGGCGGAGCGGCGGCCAGTGCCAGTGCCAGTGCTGCCTCCAGTTCGGCCTCGCATGCCAGTCTCGAGAATCTGTCGAGCACTCTGAACAGCATGGAGCTGAAGGATCACCATCACCATCATCACCAGCATCATCACCAGCAGCAGCAGCAGCAGCAGCAGCATCATCATCAGCAGCAGCAGCAGCAGCAGCATCACCAGCATGGACACACGGGCAGCTGCATCAATCCGGAATTCGATGAGGGGGATCTGGACAGCGGATTCAGTGGCAGTGGCAGCAGCAGCGGTGCCAGCTACAATGAAAGTTTGCGCTACTACAAGTCAGCCACGCCCACTGGCCACAATCCCAATCTCAATCTGAATCTCAGCTTGAATCCCACGCTCCACCAGCAGCAGCAGCAGCAGCATCCCCTAAACAACAACAACAACATCAACAACAACAACACATTGCCCCATAATATTCGCAGCTGCCGCTCGTCGACAGCCTCCGGGACATCCACATCGAAGAGCAGCATGGCCAGCTGCGGCGAGGATCAAGGCATCGCAGGAATGGGCATGATGGGCGGAGCAGGAGGTGCTGCTGGTGCTGCCTGTGCTGCTGCTGTGGCGGGACCGACTGCTGCTGGCGGTACTGCTGCTGCCGGCGTGGGTGGTGGCATGCTGCAGGAGACCAGCCTGGGCTCCCTGTCGCCCTTCCATTATCCGCGACGCTGTTCGGCAGATCAGCAGCGGGCCTCCGGCCGATCGATTGCCTCCGGAACGGCGGGTATGGGCGGCATGGGCATGGGCATGGGCATGGGAATGGGTGGAGGTATATCCACAGCGGTGGCCATGTCTGGAGCAGGCAGCTGCAGCCTCAGCAGCAGCAGCAATGTGGCACTATCCACCGGAGCGAAACCCAAGAAGAATTTCTGGACCATGAAACCGTGATGCTACAAAAAGGCGCTGCGTCACATATGCAAGAAATGGACTATTGTCATGGTGAGTGGAGAGTTGCTTGAGCAATATCTTTAAATGTTGTAAATCCTACTGCTAGATCTGTATATATATATCAGGGCTCGGCACGGCCCTAACTATGGGGTAAAGCAAAAGGCGCTGCCACTCACATTACCCGTGCAGTGCACTGCAGTGGTCAGCATCAGCACACAAACGCACTGCAAAACATGGGAATGTGTGCGTGCCGACCAGTATAATAATCGAATATATTATATTCATATATCCTCGGAGTATTCCACATGAATCCTCCATTCCCAAAGACTCTCAGCAAAGCATTTGCCTTGCTCCCATATACTCGCTGGATTTCCCTATTAAAACTGATCCCAAAAGCACAGAAATCACAGCGCCCGAGCAGCAGCCCGGCAATCATTATTCTGGCTGTGGAATCCTTTTGCTGTGGCATGGATGGGGGGACACCGTTTTGTCATTTAAGATCATATTCCATGATTATCTGGCCATCAGCCATCAGCTATCATCATCGTACAATATTCCCACCCCCACCACCAGCAGCCTCGGGGGGCACACAAACACACACACACACACACACACACACACACTCTACAATATATGTATGTAGAGCACTGGTTTTTCCGGGCGGCATCAATTTCAACTTTTCAACTTTAATCATAATAAATTTGCGGCCTGTTTTCGAGTACGAGAACGGAGAGCTAGAGAGAGAGAGAGAAAGAGAGTCAGGGCCATTGCCAGGGCTCCGTTTCAAAAGCAATGAGGCACTTCCGTTGGACTCATTCAGGAAGTGGCACAGAGAGAAAGAGAAAGAGAGGAAGTTATAGATAGAAAGAGATGGGCAGCAGCAGCAGCAGCAGCAGCAGCAGCAAATCCACATTCCCAAGATAATAAATTTATTAACTTGCAACAAGAGAGAGAGAGAGAGAGAGCCCAAAAAAAACATCATCATTATGTGGGAGGTGGTGTTTCACCCTCTCTTATAATACCCATCCTCCCCTCCCCACCCCATCCTCTATCCGCTCACCCTCTCCCCTCCATCCACTCCAAAAATGAATCAATTAAAACTGATTGAACTGCATAGATTTCCAGCATCAGCAGCCCCTGAGCCTCAGACTTGAGGCTTTAGGTTTCAGCATTCAGCATTCAGCCTTCAGCATTGAGCCTCAGCCCCAGCTTCATTTTCAGTTTCATCTTCCATGCTGTAGCCGAAAAATGAAGAAAATTAATTTATAACCGAAAGAACTGGGGTAATCCGGAGATCGCTCATCAGCAGCAGTGGCAGCAGCAGACACTCGGCTACATATGCCCCCATTTTTATGGCAATGGTCACGGGGATTACCAAAACAGTCGATGAAATGGAATGGAATGGAATGGAAGGGAGGGGCACAAGATGCAGCAGCAGCAGCAGCAGCACAAACGACGACCATTAAGGCGCCTGTTGAAATGCGAGACAAAACCCAAGAAGGAGTATTCCCCCCACTCATCCACGGGTGTGTGTGAATAATATCGTTATTCATTGCATTTTGTTATAAATCTGTCAATTTGCACAATTGTGCGTACGGAGAGAGAAGGAGAGCGGGAGAGATCCCTGGAGTGGGAATGGCGATGGGATTCTCGATGCAATTCGACAGGCAACCGTCGTCGACAAGGGGGTGGGAACACACAGAGGGTGTGGGGTGGAAGGTGAAGGGTGGGAGGGTATAAGGCTGAAGGGCAACCACACTTCAGCCCCTGCGCTGCATCGCTGCGTGTGCGTGTGTGTTTGGCATCCGCAGGGTGCGCCGTGCGCACGTTTCGGGAACCATAAAAAATCTGTTGCGAAAAATGCACGGAAATGCTACGGCCTGCCGGAATACACAACAAAGTTGTTGTTCCTACTCCCGCATTAATATACCCTGTAAAGAGAGAGAGAGAACGAGAGTGAAGAAGGGTACTTTGGGTATTCGATGTATTTAAATTTAAAAATGAAGAAAAGAAAGTGCCCATAGTACAAGAAGGAAGAAAACCCCCTGAATCGGATCTCCACATTTAGAAACCTAGCAAGCAGTAGGAATATTCCTTCCAAAAATCCCACTCGTGGTATTTTTTTTGTGTGTATAATAATTATATATAGAATATTCGTACCATACCCCTGAAACCTAAAAATTTAAAAAGAAACTCAAGAGATTTTGGAAAGTACTTGATGAATAGTTTTTTGGTAGCTAAGCATTTATTAAGAATTCAAACAAATTTTGTTTAGTACTATTCAGTATTTCTTTGGTATTTTTAGTATTTTTTAAATACAATTTTTTAATTAAAAAAAACTTTTTATCATAATTTGCTTCAGTATATTTTGTAGTATTTTTAGTATTTATTTAGTATTCTTAAATTTCCTCTCCGTATTTATTTAGCTTTTCATTCTTTTCATTCGACATAAAAGTTTCCTTTCCCTTAGTCGAACATTTTCACACCGAACCAAGGCCCCCAATCGCATCATTCCTCGGGTGTTTTCGACTGCTAGTAGAACAGGGAAAAGTATGTGTGTGTTAGGGTATCAACAACTTCGTTTCTCCACATCCGTAACCGTAGCCTCTCTGTTCTTTGGTGCGTTTGTTGTCCGCTGCGTTGATTTATATTCGAAACTGCGCTGAGGCGCAACTAATTTGCCTCGGGTGTTAAGTAGCATGTGAAGTAAACGGTGGCAGGGCAGATCCCAGTGCCGAATAAGAGAGAGTCCCGGGAGAAAGGGATCCGGGCGATGATATTCATGAGTGCTGTGCTCCGAAAAGGGGGAGCGGAACTGAACTGAACTGAACGGAACGGAACGGAACCCAACGGTCCATTCAATGCGCCCCGTTTTGAATGCGCGAATGTGCATGTGTGAATGGTCCATTGAGTGACCAAGTGGCCCGGGGAATACCACTCTCCACCAGTCCATGCGAGAGGGGGGAATTCTTAAGTCATTTATGGTATTGGTCTGGTTTTCAGCTGCAGTCATTCATGCTCATAAATTCATTCAGTTCTGTCCACCATTCAAAGGCCAGCACTCACCTTGAATTCCCTTAAAGATTTCCTCCACTAACTTTGAGACTCTTTAAGGCTTCCAGCGACTATTCCCAACCGCAAATGCAAAAAGAAAATACCATGCAAAATGTTTGATAGTCGATGGAAATCTCGAAAATTGTTGTTGATTTTCCTGTAATAAAGTATAAAATACGTCCGATAAAATGGTTTATGAACGATATACCGTTTAATATTAAACGTATTGCCAAATGTCTGAATTGTTTGCAACTTCTGTGGGTGTTTCCTTTCGGCTTTCGTGTTTCGTTATATTTATAATATTTGCATTTACCTCCCTCAATATACACATGTACATATGTACTATGCACACTCTCAGGTAGACACGTTCCCTCAGCATTCACCTTGAACTCACTCACTCTGCACACACACCCTCCATCTCCCCCCCATTCATTCCTATTCATTCCATTTGTGTGCCCTTCATCGATGGCATTCAATTTCGACCATTCACAGAGAGAGTGGGGAGAGTGTGGAGAGTGGAGAGGAGTGCACATTTTTGGAGTGCTTCAACTACAAACTTGTGCTCCTGCCAGACATCACATCATCATCGTCATCGTCATCAGAGGAGCATTGGAATCGGAATAGGAATAGGATTCCCCTCTTTTTCTTTTGGAATTTTACTCTAATATCATATACATATGTGTGTGTGTGTGTGCCCCGAAAATGGTTGGGTGACCAAAACTCTATCTTGAAACGATTTGTGCACACTCGATTTGACAGTCAGTCAGTGCCACATGCCCCCCCCCATGCCGCCCATGCCACACTTTCTGGCGGAGTCCGTCCCTTTGAATCGTTTAAATGTAGCCAACAATAATAAAACATTTTAAACTTGCGGCAGCGGCAGCGGCAACAGCAGCAACGGCGGCGGCTAATAAAGCAAAAGGGGCAAAAAAATGCTACGAGCAAAGCGGAAGCGAAATGGAGAAGGAAGGACCCAAACGAAAGGAAGAGGAAAAGGAACTCCGAAATGAAATCAGAGACACATCAAAATGGGGAAACGTCTGCTGTTGCTGTTGCTGCTGCTTTTGGCCAAATATGAAAATGTATGTGGGATGTGGGAATGTGGGAATGTGAATGTGAATGCGCCCCAGGACCAGGAACAGGACGATGCCGGGCGATTTAGGGATTCCAGAGCTGGACAATGCCGCATATAAGTAATGAAGATAAGGCCAACAAAAAAAGAAGGGGCTGGCCCCAGAGAGGAAGAGTGGACTGGACTCCCCCCACAGACTCGTGCGACGAGTATGCAAGGAAATCGGGCATAAACATTCACTTAGCCATAATAAAAGAAGAGCAACGGCAAATGGCAAACGGCAAACGGCAACAGCAGCCAAAATACTTCGTACGTCTAGTACTCAAATGAACAACATTTCTATTTAAACAGCCCCCAGAGGCATGGTGAGAGGAAGGGACGAAGCGGGACGAAGCGGGACGGAGGAAGGAAACGGCACCCCCCATCACCCCATCCCAGAGGCAGAGACCCACAGCTTTGGTCACGAGGGGTCACAGCAAAATTTGTCTGAAGTTTCGCTCTTTTGAATGGAGAACGTCCCGTCATTCCTGGGCTCTGATTTTTTTTCTATTGCTGGAGCCAGATTTCCTTCGACTGATTAAAAATTGACTGATGAAGGCGGCCCCCTTTGCCTGTTTCCTCCTTAAAATGAAGGGACTTTCTGACATAGAAATTGTTATAGTAGTGAAGGGTTTTCCCTGGTGGGGATTGGGGGGAAATGTCGCGGCATACAAGACTTTTGTGCGGCAGGCAATGTTTCTCTACAGAAACTACACCGAAAGAGAATGTTATAGCTGGGGAGTTTTAAGAGCAAAAGATAGCAAAATGATTTGACAGTTTGCGGCATTTTATGGGAATTTTATTGATGTTGAGCGACTCTACTCTTATTATTTTTACGATTTCTTTTCGATTATGGAACATTATAAATATGTAATTTTTAACATAT